ATCCTGTCTGAGGCTGCCTGTGAGAGATTTCTAATGAGTACAAAAACACCCACCAGCTGCAGAAACAACACTGCTCCAGCAACTGACATGCTACTCCTGGAAGTTGATGTGCCACAGTTTATGACTGATAGTCTGGCTAGTATACAGTCAATACAATGGCAGCAAAGTCCCTGAAAGTAAACAACCTTAAGCAAGCAAAAGATCTGGCCACAGTTTTATGGGACAATCAAGGGCATCTTTTTTGTTGATTTTCTTGAACGTGGAAAGACAGTTAATGGCAAAGTTTATTGTGACACTGTGATAAAACTTAGACGTGCCATCATGGTTAGTTGGTTGTCTAGTTGGGTGAGTGGCTATTTAAGTGCTTGGTTGAGTGGCTAGTTGGTTGACTAGGTGGGTGATTGGTTGAGTGACTAGGTGGGTGATTGGGTGAGTGGCTAGTTGGTTGACTAGATGGGTGATTGGTTGAGTGGTTAGTTAATTGACTAGGTGGGTGATTGGTTGAGTGGTTAGTTGGTTGACTAGGTGGGTGATTGAGTGGCTACTTGGTTGACTAGATGGGTGATTGGTTGAGTGGTTAGTTGGTTGACTAGGTGGGTGATTGGTTGAGTGGTTAGTTGGTTGACAAGGTGGGTGATTGGTTGAGTGGCTAGTTGGTTGGCTAGGTGGGTGCTTGGTTGAGTGACTAGGTGGGTGATTGAGTGAGTGGCTAGTTGGTTGACTAGGTGGGTGATTGGGTGAGTGGTTAGTTGGTTGACTAGGTGGGTGTTGGTTGAGTGACTAAGTGGGTGCTTGGTTGAGTGGCTACTTGGTTGACTAGGTGGGTGATTGGGTGAGTGGCTACTTGGTTGACTAGGTGGGTGCTTGGTTGAGTGGCTACTTGGTTGACTAGGTGGGTGCTTGGTTGAGTGGCTACTTGGTTGACTAGGTGGGTGCTTTGTAAAGTGACTAGGTTGGTGATTGGTTGAGTGGCTAGTTGTTTGACTAGGTGGGTGATTGGTTGAGTGGCTAGGTGGGTGATTGGTTGAGTGGCTAGTTGGTTGACTAGGTAGCTGATTGGTTGAGTGGTTAGTTGGTTGACTAGATGGGTGATTGGTTGAGTGGCTAGGTGGGTGATTGGTTGAGTGGCTAGTTGGTTGACTATGTGGGTGATTGGTTGAGTGGTTAGTTGGTTGACTAGGTGGGTGATTGGTTGAGTGGCTAGGTGGGTGATTGGTTGAGTGGCTAGTTGGTTGACTAGGTGGGTGATTGGTTGAGTGGTTAGTTGGTTGACTAGGTGGGTGATTGGTTGAGTGGTTAGTTGGTTGACTAGGTGGGTACTTGGTTGAGTGACTAGGTGGGTGATTGGTTGAGTGGTTAGTTGGTTGACTAGGTGGGTGATTGGTTGAGTGGTTAGTTAATTGACTAGGTGGGTGATTGGTTGAGTGGTTAGTTGGTTGACTAGGTGGGTGATTGGTTGAGTGGTTAGTTGGTTGACTAGATGGGTGATTGGTTGAGTGGTTAGTTGGTTGACTAGGTGTGTGATTGGTTGAGTGGTTAGTTGGTTGACAAGATGGGTGATTGGTTGAGTGGCTAGTTGGTTGACTAGGTGGGTGCTTGGTTGAGTGACTAGGTGGGTGATTGGGTGAGTGGCTAGTTGGTTGACTAGGTGGGTGATTGGGTGAGTGGCTAGTTGGTTGACTAGGTGGGTGATTGGGTGAGTGGTTAGTTGGTTGACTAGATGGGTGATTGGTTGAGTGGTTAGTTGGTTGACTAGGTGGGTGATTGGTTGAGTGGTTAGTTGGTTGACTAGGTGGGTGATTGGTTGAGTGGCTAGTTGGTTGACTAGGTGGGTGCTTGGTTGAGTGACTATGTGGGTGATTGGGTGAGTGGCTAGTTGGTTGACTAGGTGGGTGATTGGTTGAGTGGCTAGTTGGTTGACTAGGTGGGTGATTGGTTGAGTGGCTAAGTGGGTGCTTGGTTGAGTGGCTACTTGGTTGACTAGGTGGGTGATTGGGTGAGTGGTTAGTTGGTTGACTAGGTGGGTGCTTGGTTGAGTGGCTTCTTGGTTGACTAGGTGGGTGCTTTGTAAAGTGACTAGGTGGGTGATTGGTTGTGTGGCTAGTTGTTTGACTAGGTAGGTGATTGGTTGAGTGGCTAGGTGGGTGCTTGGTTGAGTGGCTACTTGGTTGACTAGGTGGGTGCTTGGTTGAGTGACTAGGTGGGTGATTGGTTGAGTGGCTAGTTGGTTGACTAGGTGGGTGATTGGTTGAGTGGCTAGTTGGTTGACTAGGTGGGTGATTGGTTGAGTGGCTAGTTGGTTGACTAGGTGGGTGATTGGTTGAGTGGCTAGTTGGTTGACTAGGTGGGTGATTGGTTGAGTGGCTAGTAGATGGGTGATGGTGTTAGGTAGGGTTGACTAGATGGTGGTTGATTGAGTGAATAGATGGGTGATTGGTTTGACTAGTGGCTAGTTGGTTGACTAGGTGGGTGATTGGTTGAAGTGACTAGGTGGGTGATTGGTTTAGTGGCTAGTTGGTTGACTAGGTGGGTGATTGGTTGAGTGGCTAGGTGGGTGATTGGTTGAGTGGCTAGTTGGTTGACTAGGTGGGTGATTGGTTGAGTGGCTAGGTGGGTGATTGGTTGGTGTGATGGTTGAGTGGCTAGTTGGTTGACTAGGGGTGGGTGAGTGGTTTGAGTGGTTAGTGGGTGATTGGGTGATTGAGTGGCTAGGGTGACTAGGTGGGTGATTGGTTGAGTGGTTAGTTGGGCTAGTTGGTGACTAGTTGAGTGGCTAGTTGGTTGACTAGGTGGGTGATTGGTTGGTGGTTAGTTGACTAGGTGGGTGGGGGTGATTGGTGTGAGTGGCTAGTTGGTGCTAGTTGGTGGACTAGGTGGGTGATTGGTTGAGTGGTTAGGTTGACTAGGTGGGTGATTGGTTTAGTGGGTAGTTGGTTGAGTGGTAGGTTGACTAGGTGGGTGATTGGTTGAGTGGCTAGGGTGGGTGAGGTGGGTGATTGGTGAGTGGCTAGTTGGTTGACTAGGTGGGTGATTGGTTGAGTGGTTAGTTGGTTGACTAGGTGGGTGATTGGTTGAGTGGTTAGTTGGTTGACTAGGTGGGTGATTGGTTGAGTGGCTAGTTGGTTGACTAGGTGGGTGATTGGTTGAGTGACTAGGTGGGTGATTGGGTGAGTGGCTAGTTGGTTGACTAGGTGGGTGATTGGTTGAGTGGTTAGTTGGTTGACTAGGTGGGTGATTGGTTTGAGTTGGTTACTACTAGGTGGGTGCTTGGTTGAGTGGCTACTTGGTTGACTAGGTGGGTGATTGGTTGAGTGGCTAGTTGGTGACTAGGTGGGTGATTGGTTGAGTGGGTTAGTTGGTTGACTAGGTGGGTGCTTGGTTGAGTGGCTAGTTGGTTGACTAGGGGTGGGTTGAGTGACTAGGTTGGGTTGAGTGGCTAGTTGTTTGACTAGGTAGTGATTGATTGAGTGAGTGGCTAGTTGGTGACTAGGTGGGTGCTTGGTTGAGTTGGGTGACTAGGTGGGTGATTGGTTGAGTGGCTTGGGGTGATTGGTTGAGTTGACTAGGTGGGTGATTGGGTGAGTGGTTGCTTAGTTGGTTGACTAGGTGGGTGATTGGTTGAGTGACTAAGTTGGGTGCTTTGGTTGAGTGGCTACTTGGTTGAGTGGCTAGGTGGTGGGGTGATTGGTTGAGTGGCTAGTTGGTTGACTAGGTGGGTGATTGGTTGAGTGGTTACTTGGTTGACTAGGTGGGTGCTTGGTTGGTTGACTTGAGTGGCTAGGTGGGTGATGGTTGACTAGGTGGGTGCTTTGTTGAAGTGGTTGACTATGTAGGTTGTGATTGGTTGAGTGGTTAGTTGTTTGACTAGGTGGGTGATTGGTTGAGTGGCTAGGTGGGTGATTGGTTGAGTGGCTAGTTGGTTTGACTAGGTAGGTGATTGGTTGAGTGGTTAGTTGGTTGACTAGGTGGGTGATTGGTTGAGTGGCTAGGTGGGTGGGTGGGTTGAGTGACTAGGTGGCTAGTTGGTTGACTATGTGGGTGATTGGTTGAGTGGTGGTGGTTTGGTTGACTAGGTGGGTGATTGGGTTGAGTGGCTAGGTGGGTGATTGGTTGAGTGGTTGACTAGTTGGTTGACTAGGTGGGTGATTGGTTGAGTGGTTAGTTGGTTGACTAGGTGGGTGATTGGTTGAGTGGTTAGTATTGGTGTTGACTAGTGGGTACTTGGTTGAGTGACTAGGTTGGTTGATTGGTTTGATGGTTGAGTGGGTGCTAGTGGTTGACTAGGTGGGTGATTGGTTGAGTGGCTAGTTGGTTGACTAGGTGGGGTGATTGGTTGAGTGGCTAGTTTGGTGGACTAGGTGGGTGATTGGTTGAGTGGTTAGTTGGTTGACTAGGTGGGTGATTGGTTGAGTGGTTAGTTGGTGGCTTGACTAGGTGGGTGATTGGGTTGAGTGGGTAGGTGGGTGACTAGGTGATTTGGTTGAGTGGCTAGTGGTGGTTGACTAGGTGGGTGATTGGTTGAGTGGCTAGTTGGTTGACTAGGTGGGAGATTTGTTGAGTGGCTAGGTGGGTGCTTGGTTGAGTGGCTAGTTGTTTGACTAGGTGGGTGATTGGTTGAGTGGCTAGTTGATTGACTAGGTAGGTGTTGAGTGGCTAGGTGGGTTTGAGTGGCTGAGTGGTTGGTTTGCTGGGTGATTGGCTTGGCTAGTTTTCTTGTGGAGTGGTTGAGTTAGGGGTGACTGGCTGAGTGTAAAGTTAGTGGTCTACCAGAATCACTGCCTGAATGGGTAGTTGGTTAACGAGCTGAGTGGTGAACTTCATTAGGTGGCTGCTTCGTTGATTTTTGCATCAAATTGGCTGGCTCTTTTGTAATCCAATAACTGTTTACACTAAGTCTTCCTGAAAATTCACAACCATCCAGGCCATTTGTGCCATACCAATATAAAAGATGTGCAGAGATGATCACCGTTTTCTATAGTGAGGCAAAGAAACAAACATACCCATGTTTAGCAAAGCTGGCTGTCCGCTTTGTGATGTCATCACTAAAAGTCCTCTCACTGTCTGTATAGTTACTTCCCTTTTCTAACCAAGGCTGTCCAAAGAAAATGTCCAGTTCGTATCCATGGGGTACCCCCATCCATTGGGGCCAGGTGTTGGTGCTTGCTCGATGTTCGTATGAGTACATAAACACACGGCCTTTCACTTGAGTGCTATAGAACTGTGCAAAGTCGACAACACTGCACTTGAAGGTCGTGTCGCCACTGGGGATACCAAAGGCAATGATATATTGAAGATATACTGTTGTGAGATGTCATGAATAATGAATGCAAGACCACATAGACACTGCAGACATCTCAGAGCAGCACAAACATTGTGCTGGAGACAACATATATGTCAAGGGCAGCACAAACATTGTGCTGGAGACAACAGATATGTCAAGGGCAGCACAAACATTGTGCTGGAGACAACAGATATGTCAAGGGCAGCACAAACATTGTGCTGGAGACAACAGATATGTCAAGGGCAGCACAAACATTGTGCTGGAGACAACAGATATGTCAAGGGCAGCACAAACATTGTGCTGGAGACAACAGATATGTCAAGGGCAGCACAAACATTGTGCTGGAGACAACAGATATGTCAAGGGCAGCACAAACATTGTGCTGGAGACAACATATATGTCAAGGGCAGCACAAACATTGTGCTGGAGACAACAGATATGTCAAGGGCAGCACAAACATTGTGCTGGAGACAACAGATATGTCAAGGGCAGCACAAACATTGTGCTGGAGACAACAGATATGTCAAGGGCAGCACAAACATTGTGCTGGAGACAACAGATATGTCAAGGGCAGCACAAACATTGTGCTGGAGACAACAGATGACTTAAACAGAATCAAGATATCAGTCAGGAGTCATCTCCACAATCAAGGTTGGCTGCCCTGGCTGCATACTCTCAGGCTGCTGTCTTTTGACTTCCTCCCACTTGTATCACCTTTTACTCTGTTGTCGTCATCTTTTCCCCCCAGTATAGTTTTTATCAGTCTTGTCTTTCAAATATTCTCCTCGTAGGCATGTAGGGATGCCACAGCTGATTGTAAATAGACATGTAGGGATGCCACAGCTGATTGTAAATAGACATGTAGGGATGCCACAGCTGATTGTAAATAGACATGTAGGGATGCCACAGCTGATTGTAAATAGACATGTAGGGATGCCAAAAATCAGTCCCTGATTGTAAATAGACATGTAGGGATGCCACAGCTGATTGTAAATAGACATGTAGGGATGCCACAGCCATGATTGTAAATAGACATGTAGGGATGCCACAGCTGATTGTAAATAGACATGTAGGGATGCCACAGCTGATTGTAAATAGACATGTAGGGATGCCACAGCTGATTGTAAATAGACATGTAGGGATGCCACAGCTGATTGTAAATAGACATGTAGGGATGCCACAGCTGATTGTAAATAGAGATGTAGGTTATGCATTCAACTATCTCAACTAAAGGATGATTTCCGACAGTGTCACCTCCCAGGGTGACATGAACTGCCTTTACTTGCCAAAACATTCCCTGATCCGTCTAGAAGCCCATGTCATGGTTTCATCCCTGATCCGTCTAGAAGCCCATGACATTGTTTCATCCCTGACCCGTCTAGAAGCCCATGTCATGGTTTCATCCCTTCTCCGTCTAGAAGCCCATGTCATGGTTTCATCCCTGACCCGTCTAGAAGCCCATGTCATGGTTTCATCCCTGACCCGTCTAGAAGCCCATGTCATTGTTTCATCCCTTCTCCGTCTAGAAGCCCATGTCATGGTTTCATCCCTTCTACAGGATTTGAATACATAATGTGGCAAAGTGGTCATGGTGTTTGCCGTCCACTCTAAAGGTCATGGGTTCATTTCATGGTGGCGCCACTCATTTAACGAGTTTTATTGTTACCAAGACTCTTAGTGATCGCCCCCAGAGCTTCTTCTTCTTCTTCTTCACGTTCACCAGCTGTAAATCTGGTGGAAAGTTCTGGCTTCTTTATCTACTTCTGGACTGCAGTCCTGTTGCAGAACCTGAGTGTTGCATGTGCATCCATTTTACAGATCTGACTCGTTTGTAAACAGACTGTTGGTTCCTTGCCTCTCAGGCAGATGCACTCCGACTTTGATGGAAACTCCCAATTAGTCGACTCTTACGACATGCTTTTGGGCAGGCTGGTAATCAAAGACAGAAGACCTGAACTGGGAGAAACACCATGGTTCGATGACATTAATTAAACGTAACACAGTTTTGTATACTCTCACTTTCAATGCTACAGATAGAATTCTAGTGAGGAGATAACTCTGTTTGACATGTAACAAGGGTGAAGGTGAGTGGTAACAGCAAAAATTCCAGTGACAACATGGCTCTCTTTGACAATACGCAGGAGACTGAAGATATGCCGGTGATAACCGATAGAAACAGGCACTCAACTGTAACATGTGCAGTTATTCAGGCCAAGGTCTTATCACATTATTTCATTATCATAAATATCTAGTATCCATGGCAATCAGCTGAAGCTTGTGTGCCTGAATATGTAGGAATAAGTCTAATACTGAGGAATATCTCACATAAGCAACAACTATAGTTCAAAGGTTACAGACACAAATACTTACTATATGTCATCTACTGCATCAACATAGCTCCCTCTACTGCCAGGGAGCTCAGAATCATAATATTCATTCATTGTCAAATGTTTCATGTAGTCAGTGCTGAAGGTACTTCCAAGCAGTTTATCCACAACTGTAGCATACTGGTGGCTCGTGATTGGGTTTGGATCTCGGTTTGCAAACATTTGAGGGAATCGATAAATTAAGAAGTAGGTACCTTCATCTTTGACCACACCTGTCATTATTGTTGTGTTTTTCACCTGTGGAAGTGGAGAAGATGTTCACTTTTTGAAGATCAAACAAACATCATGCACTGATAATTATCTTCTAAAACATGGTTGTAACAGCTATACTGATTTTATTTTTGGTACTACATGGCAATAAACAAAAAACAAGAGAGAAAGGTAGCCATCTGAGCATTCAGATGTTTGAGAAAAGCTGCAACAAGCTCACAAACAAATCCATAAGAAGAGATTGTGTGAGCAATGAAGACATAAGACATACTGTTTCAGAAAGACAAATGATTTAGCCACTTAGTGAGAATACATCCATTGTTGCCTGCAACAAGAGCATCAAACATAAACATGGAAACACCAAGAGGCAGAGGAACACCTAGGAGAAGATGGACTGATGTAATCAATGACAACCTGTCTTTACAACATCATATTGTAACAAGTAACTGAGCTCGCCCTGGCTCGGCCACCCTATTACCTGTTAAATCTTTGAAACAGCAAATACTGACAAGAGAAAAACAAAAGAATAACTATTTCAGATGTATAATCAGGGCAAAACAAGCAGACAAGACAAATGTAACACTTATGTTATCAGAACCTGGCGATTGAGCCAACAATACTGCAGCCTCTGACATATCTGCACTTTCCTGCGGCCAAGTAACTGACATGTAAAAACTTCCTGTGCCCAGTCCTGTAAAACCTTCCTGGGCCCAGTGACTGACTGTACTCCTGTAAAACCTTCATTTCTAGCTGATGAAAACGATGTCCTGCCTTACTTTCTAAACACAGAAACAATAACGGTAGTAATGGAGGTAGTATAATGATAACACATGAGCGTTGTTACACTGGGTCTTCATGACCCACACACCCTTACCTTGCCATAGGCCATGAGCTGCAATGGATGTTTCAGCAGGAATGACCCGTCAACAACGGGTGAAAACAATAGATCAATGATTGCTTCACCTCTGACCTGCCACTGTCGAGCCTCCAAATGTTGGGCACTCATACTTCTTAGGTCGTACACAACATCGTTGATGTCACGATCAGAGCAGTCTCGATCACACGCCAGCTGTCGGGTACGGCTCAGTGCTTTCTCTGTAGTCTGTGTCAGATTTGTGAATGTGGTGACAGGAAGGTGGTACTAGGGTTCGTGTGGGACATGACGCTACTAACACAGTATCAAACAATGACGAGCAGATGAACAAATACTACGGCAACAACAACAAAACAGAAGACAACCTAGTAGCTATTGCAGCAGTAATAGATGTAGTAGCGCCAATAATAACAACAGCAGTAGACACAGTAGCAGCAATAATAGCAGCAGCAGACACAGTAGCAGCAATAATAGCAGCAGCAGTAGACACAGTAGCAGCAATAATAGCAGCAGTAGACACAGTAGCGCCAATAATAACAACAGCAGTAGACACAGTAGCAGCAATAATAGCAGCAGAAGTAGACACAGTAGCAGCAATAATAGCAGCAGTAGACACAGTAGCAGCAATAATAGCAGCAGCAGTAGACACGAACACAGTAGCGCCAATAATAACAACAGCAGTAGACACAGTAGCAGCAATAATAGCAGCAGCAGTAGACACAGTAGCAGCAATAATAGCAGCAGTAGACACAGTAGCAGCAATAATAACAACAGCAGTAGACACAGAAGCAGCAATAATAGCAGCAGCAGTAGACACAGTAGCAGCAATAATAACAACAGCAGTAGACACAGAAGCAGCAATAATAGCAGCAGCAGTAGACACAGTAGCAGCAATAATAGCAGCAGCAGTAGAAACAGTAGCGCCAATAATAACAACAGCAGTAGACACAGAAGCAGCAATAATAGCAGCAGTAGACACAGTAGCAGCAATAATAACAACAGCAGTAGACACAGAAGCAGCAATAATAGCAGCAGCAGTAGACACAGAAGCAGCAATAATAGCAGCAGCAGTAGACACAGTAGCAGCAATAATAGCAGCAGCAGTAACAGCAACAGCAATAATAGCAGTAGCAGTGACAGCAGCAGTAGCACTATGAGTAGAAGTAGCAACAGTTGTTGCATCTGCAGTAGACATAAAAGTAGCAACAGTTGCTGCAGCTACAGTAGACATAGAAGTAGCAACAGTTGTTGCAGCTACAGTAGACATAGAAGTAGCAACAGTTGTTGTATCTGCAGTAGACATAGAAGTAGCAACAGTTGTTGCAGCTACAGTAGACATAGAAGTAGCAACAGTTGTTGCAGCTACAGTAGACATAGAAGTAGCAACAGTTGTTGCAGCTACAGTAGACATAGAAGTAGCAACAGTTGTTGCAGCTACAGTAGACATAGAAGTAGCAACAGTTGTTGCAGCTACAGTAGACATAGAAGTAGCAACAGTTGTTGCAGCTACAGTAGACATAGAAGTAGCAACAGTTGTTGCAGCTACAGTAGACATAGAAGTAGCAACAGTTGTTGCAGCTACATTAGACATAGAAGTAGCAACAGTTGTTGCAGCTACAGTAGACATAGAAGTAGCAACAGTTGTTGCAGCTACAGTAGACATAGAAGTAGCAACAGTTGTTGCAGCTACAGTAGACATAGAAGTAGCAACAGTTGTTGCAGCTACAGTAGACATAGAAGTAGCAACAGTTGTTACAGCTACAGTAGACATAGAATTAGCAACAGTTGTTGCAGCTACAGTAGACATAGAAGTAGCAACAGTTGTTGCAGCTACAGTAGGCATAGAAGTAGCAACAGTTGTTGCAGCTACAGTAGACATAGAAGTAGCAACATTTGTTGCAGCTACAGTAGACATAGAAGTAGCAACAGTTGTTGCAGCTACAGTAGACAAAGAAGTAGCAACAGTTGTTGCAGCTACAGTAGACGTAGAAGAAGCAACAGTTGTTGCAGCTACAGTAGACCTAGAAGTAGCAACAGTTGTTGCAGCTACAGTAGACATAGAAGTAGCAACAGTTGTTGCAGCTACAGTAGACATAGAAGTAGCAACAGTTGTTGCAGCTACAGTAGATATAGAAGTAGCAACATTTGTTGCAGCTACAGTAGACATAGAAGTAGCAACAGTTGTTGCAGCTACAGTAGACATAGAAGTAGCAACAGTTGTTGCAGCTACAGTAGACATAGAAGTAGCAACAGTTGTTGTAGTTTGTTTGCAGCTCACAGAACACAAAGTAGCAACAGTTGTTGCAGATACAGTAGACATAGAAGTAGCAACAGTTGTTGCAGCTACAGTAGACACAGAAGTAGCAACAGTTGTTGCAGCTACAGTAGAAATAGAAGTAGCAACAGTTGTTGCAGCTACAGTATACATAGAAGTAGCAACAGTTGTTGCAGCAACAGTAGACATAGAAGTAACAACAGTTGTTGCAGCAACAGCAGACATAGAAGTAGCAACAGTTGTTGCAGCTACAGTAGACATAGAAGTAGCAACAGTTGTTGCAGCTACAGCAGACATAGAAGTAGCAACAGTTGTTGCAGCTACAGTAGACATAGAAGTAGCAACAGTTGTTGCAGATACAGTAGACATAGAAGTAGCAACAGTTGTTGCAGCTACAGTAGACACAGAAGTAGCAACAGTTGTTGCAGCTACAGTAGAAATAGAAGTAGCAACAGTTGTTGCAGCTACAGTAGACATAGAAGTAGCTTTGAACCAACCAACTTTATTTTCAAAGGGTCACAAATAAGGCATGCAGGCCCGTCTTACATTCGGCCCTCTCATCTTTCACACAGCAGTTGTATTTCATTAATAAAGCATGTTATGTTCATGTAATAGTAGTAACAGTAGTAATAGTAGTAGCAACAGTTGTTGCAGCTGCATATAGAAATAGCCATAACAGCAGCAGTAAACACAGCACCAGTCACCACAGCAGCAGTAAACACAACACTAGTCACCACAGCAGCAGTATCAGTGGTACCATCAGCAGTAGTTTCTGTTGTTGCATGCGGTGTTGTTTAGTTGTAGCAGCTACAGCAGTTATCAAGAAGAGAATATCCAAACTAGACTTTTGTACAGGATGTATCCGTCACTCACTCACGCACAAACAAGCGCTCGCACACACATCAAACAGTAACGGCAATGACCTGTGTGGCGTAATAGACTTGTGGAGCGCCACTCATCAACATGGCGTAGGTGAACAGGTCCCAGGACAGTGGCGACATCAGGTGCATCCCCACGCTGATAGCTCCGGCACTCTCGCCATAAATGGTGATCAGCTGCGGGTTGCCGCCCAATTTTTCTGCGTTCTCTTTGACAAACTGTGGATTCATGAGCAATGGACGAATAACAAAGTGTATTTTTCATTTTATTTGTGTCAAACTCCTCATCTTCCTTCTTCCCCTCCTATGATTTTCCTAGTATGTTCATTTATGAACCCACAACCGGGCACAGGTAGTGTATCAACCATACCTTTTCTCTTGATATGTCCCACAATTTCCATTTGTTACATCGTAGCTTGAAAACTTTTGATCAGTGATCTCGTTATCATAAGAAGTTCTCTTTATTTCATTGTTTCTTTTTTATCCAGGTTATTCTTACTATTCTCAACATCTTCTGTGGCCAGTGTTATTCTCAACATCTGTGGCCAGTGTTATTCTCAACATCTTCTGTGACCAGTGTTATTCTCAACATCTTCTGTGGCCAGTGTTATTCTCAACATCTTCTGTGGCCAGTGTTATTCTCAACATCTTCTGTTTCTTATTCTCAACATCTTCTGTGGCCAGTGTTATTCTCACTATTCTTCTGTGGCCAGTGTTATTCTCACTATTCTTCTGTGGCCAGTGTTATTCTCACTATTCTTCTGTGGCCAGTGTTATTCTCAACATCTTCTGTGGCCAGTGTTATTCTCAACATCTTCTGTGGCCAGTGTTATTCTCAACATCTTCTGTGGCCAGTGTTATTCTCACTATTCTTCTGTGGCCAGTGTTATTCTCACTATTCTTCTGTGGCCAGTGCTATTCTCACTATTCTTCTGTGGCCAGTGTTATTCTCACTATTCTTCTGTGGCCAGTGTTATTCTCAACATCTTCTGTGGCCAGTGTTATTCTCAACATCTTCTGTGGCCAGTGTTATTCTCAACATCTTCTGTGGCCAGTGTTATTCTCACTATTCTTCTGTGGCCAGTGTTATTCTCACTATTCTTCTGTGGCCAGTGCTATTCTCACTATTCTTCTGTGGCCAGTGTTATTCTCACTATTCTTCTGTGGCCAGTGTTATTCTCAACATCTTCTGTGGCCAGTGTTATTCTCAACATCTTCTGTGGCCAGTGCTATTCTCACTATTCTTCTGTGGCCAGTGTTATTCTCACTATTCTTCTGTGGCCAGTGTTATTCTCACTATTCTTCTGTGGCCAGTGTTATTCTCACCATTCTTCTGTAGCCAGTGTTATTCTATATAGTTATTGGTCT